GGTGACCCCGGGCCTCCCTCCTGACCCCGCGCGGTAAGTGCGACTTCCTGCCCGCGCGGTGGGCTAAGGCCCGTCCCCGCGAGCACGCGACCCTCCCGGGCCCTAGGGGTCCGGGGACTCGCCGGCCAGGCTGGGGGCTCGCGAGCTGGAACCGGGACTCGAACCCGCGTCTCTCCTCGCCTCCCCAGCGCCTGGAGTTGCTCAAAGTTCCCCACGCGGGTGGGTGAGGAGCGAGTGCTGCTCTCCAGGACTGTTCCAAGACTGAACAAGCCGGAAACTATTTCTGGTCCCCCACAGCAGGCACCCCTTGTTGAAGTTTTAAGAACCGGCCTTCTCGAAGGTGCGGGTGAGACGGTAGCTTCCCGTGTTTGGTTTTTAGCGGTTCTTCTGAGCGTGTCCCGCGGTCGGAAGCTGCGGGGAGAACTTGGCTGTCAGAGCGCATATACTGCTGCCGTTGTGGTTATCTCCTCCTGTTTCTTTGGACCTTTACTAAAAAGGATCTACGCAGAGTGTCCCGCCCCTTCCACAGCCGTGAAAGGCCAGGCTCTTCTGCATGGCTCAGGGACTATGGGCCGGCAGATGCCCTCCAACTTTGTTTTGAGAATGGAACCGCTGTTACTGTGTGTCTAGCCGTTTTACTGATGCACAATAAATGTTAATTCTCCTTCCTGTTAGGAAGCAGTTTAATAAATCCTCCTGTTAAGAAAAAGTTTAATAAGGCTTTTTGGTATTAATTAGATAGCTGTTAAGGGGGAGGGTGGACTCAGAACTTTTTTTTCTGACTTTCGGTATATTCTGTATCAGGAGTTATGTAAAAGAAAACTTTTAGGTAAAGGTGAATACACTAATATTTTTGTGACAGGAAGAGAGAAATAGATTTTAAAATATAAGAAAAAAAGACAAATACATATACTCACACAACATATGTATATCCAGATATCTGAAGCAATCTTGTGTCAATGTGTTCACTATAGTAAAACAAGCTACCTGAGAATGTTGGCGTTGGGGAGCCTGCGGGGAGGAGGAATAGAGTGCACCCTGTCGGGACCTGTACTACAACAGGAGTCTTGGATTGGGTTTTGAGCTTCCTTGGAGCTAGGATAGGAACAAAGTAAGCTACTGCGGGTTTCTAATTCAATGTTGTTTTTTGTTTGTTTTGTTTTGGTTTGTTAAAACCAAACCAAACCAGTTCTTCTGCCTGAGCAAGGTATTTTCTTGAAAGTTTCTCACCGGCCCTAAGAAAAGAGAAAGAGATGGTGAAGCAGTTGACATCTTTAAAATTGTAAATTTTGCACCAAAAAAAAAAAAGTTTCAACATAGGGCTGCTGCTGTATGAACTCATCCTGGTGATGCTCTGGGCTAGCATTTCCCAAACCACGCTGTAAAGAATAACAAGTAAATAACTTGGTTTTTTGACTAAGCTCAGGAACTAGGGCTGCAGCTCAGTGGCAGAGGACTGACATGTCTGCCCTGCACAAGGCCCTGTGTCCCAGCTCCAGAACAAGGAGATGGGAGAAGATTCTGAGCTCAAATGAACTCAGACATCTGGATTAGGCAAACTGTGAAGCTTTTTCACACCTTATTGTAAAGTTGATTGACTGATGATGGATGTACGTTGTGAGCTATTCCAAATTTAATAAAGCGCCTTTCGTGAGTATTTTCTCACAGCTTGAGATCTTATACGAACTGGCGAGTGAAGTTACTGTATTTGGCAAGGACCCGAATGAAGCTAATCCAGAAGTCAGGGTTTAATGCATACACATCAAAGGAAGAAGCTACTCTCGTACCGCGTAGGCCTTCCGCAAGCTGCCTTTTGGACCAGATGACCTTTAGGGCTTCTCATTTATGCCTCTGAACGTTTACTGTTTGAGAATTAGAATAGGTTTAGGCAAAGAAGAATTCTTGAGGGATTACTTTCAATTATTAGTGACTATAAATATGTGATTTACATGCTGTTTTATTACAAACATTATTTGTACTATTACTCTACTGTGAAACCCTATATTTTATAGCTATAAAAGATCTTGGAAAACATGCCACATAGTAGAAAGATCAAAAAGGCTGGGTGTGGTGATGTGTGGGTGGCACATGCCTTTAACCCCAGTATTCTGAAGACAGAGGTATCCAGATTTCTGTGAGTTTGAGGCCAGTCTGGCCTACATAGCAAGGTCCAGGCCAGTCAGGCCTACATAGTGAGACCTTATCTCAAAAAGGAGAAAGATCTGGAACAACACCACCAAAACTTATCATTTGCACTTATTAATGTGTGGGGCTATTTCCAGCAAGTTTATGAGCCCTTTGGATCTATACTCTTGTTTATAAGACTAGGGTGGTTATAGCAGACAGCTCATTCATGGACTAAATGCTGGGAATTTACTGGCTACTGGTAGTAAACCAGCCTCAGTGATGCAAATGAGGACAAGTGGCAAGAGTTTGGATTGCAAGAATTGCATCTTACCCAGATGTATGTGGATTCTGAGTTTCAGGAGTCAAGCAGTGAGCGTTGAGAGGATAAGGAATTGGTTTGAAGATGTATCTGGAGCCACACCTAAAAGTGCAGCACTTCTATACAAAAGTTATGTTTTGGCATGCATATACCAGTGTGGCCCTTCTGAAAAATTGAGAGCCAATGCTATTTGCTCTTTTCACCCTATCTGTGAAGAAGATGCTTGCATCCAATGGAATAAATTGGGCTGTCATCACAAAAGATCCTCACATCCCACTGGCTTAAGTCAGCAAAGGTCTATTTCTGTCATCCTGTATGTCTGATGAGGATCAGCATGACAGCTCCATTTCAGGTGGTTGCTTGGACCCTAGGCTGTTAGAGGCTGTATCTCAGTGCATTCTTCCATAGTTGGTAGGGGAGGGGAAAGTTGTGTGGATAGTGACAGTACATTGGCTCTTTAAGGCTTCCACTTGGAAGTGGCCACACAAGTCATGTAACTGTACCTAACTTCAGGGAAGTGGGGAAATGCCACTCCACCATGTGGCAGAAGGAAGAGACCTGGCACCACTTGTGAACAGTCCTCGTGAGCACTGCACCAGGCGGCTGTCCTCGTGAGCTAACACGAGATTTGAATAAACCATACCACCATGGTTTTCAGTCTCCTATTTGAAAAATAGAAAACAGCATTTCTTTGTGTGTGTGTGTGTATTTAGAGAGAATTATGGTAATGAGAATTATAAAGAACATCTTAATTTGAAATGAAATGCTATTGAAATCCCCACAATTAGATGTACTGTTTTGATCAAGTGAGTTTCATTTTGAATTGTATGTCCATTCAATAAACATTTGTTAAACGTGTATAAGGCACTGTTAGGTCTTCTGAGAATAAAACAGTGAATGGGAGTTTACAATGCCAGGAGAAATAGCTGTAATTTGAGTTCTCTCTCTCTTTTTAATGCAACATTAACAAGTTACGGTATGACATAACACTCAACACATACACACACACTAGACTTTGTATTCTCTTTTTTTTTTCTTTTCTTTTTTTTTTCTCTTATAGTTTGTTTCCTAACATGTTTTACAAAATTACTTGAACTAGCTTAAACAACCAGACTGCTTTGTTAGCAATAATGTAGCTTTGTATCAGAGTTAGAGAGGAGAAATCCAGTTGGGTCTTGAGGCAATTGGCATCACTAACAGTAGATCAGGGCTGTTTTCTCTATGTGTGTTTTTTTTTTCCCTCTGCACATACATTTCATTGTTCTGTTTCTGTGTTTTGCCCTTACAAGGGTGCTTTAATCTAAGAGTTCACATGCTTGGGACTAGACCTTTGCAGTTTCTGCAAACCTGTTTGTTTGTTTGTTTGTTTTTAAATGAAACAGGGAGGTTAGCCCCGTTAGTGGTTCTTAAGCTGTGGGTCATGATCCCTTTGGGGGTT